CCGGGACGGCTCTGAGGAGCCGCTCCCCCGCCACAGCACAGCGTGAGGGCGAGCGGGGGGCACCGCAGCACACGGCGCTGCTCTCCAGCCGTACCTCGCAGCGGGGAGTCCCTGCGGGCTCCGCTCCGGCTCCTCATCGATCGTCATCGCTCCTCATGGTTCCTCACCGACCCTCCGGGACCCCCACAACACCCCCAGTCCCGCCCGGGCCGCCGCCGAGCGGCAAATGGCGGCGGGCTGGGCACGGCACGCGGAACGGCCACGCCCACCGCGCCAGGCCACGCCCCTCACATCAGACCACGCCCCCAGATGCCAACAGGCCTCTCGTCCATCCCTCAAAGGCCACGCCCCATCCCGTTAGACCACGCCCCCAACCCACAAGGCCTCGCCCCCGTCCCACAACGCCACGCCCCCCTCGGCCTGGCCCCGCCCCCAGCCCCTCTTTGGGGCGATTTCCACGAAATCGGTCGGTTTTTCCTGCCTGTTCCTTCCGAGGTGAATTCGCTGCCTCTGCGCTCCCAGGCTTTCGCGCTGAAGACGCTGACGTTGCACTTTCCTCCCCTTTAGCGTTTCCTTCTCCCTTTTTCTGTTCATCCCCCACGTCTCCACATCCTTAAACTACAGACACAGCAATAAGTGAGATCTTCAGTGATTTTAGGGTGACTTACGGGCAGTTCCTGTGACTAGGATTAAACTCAGGAATGACTCTTTTGGGATTATCCTCTGTGTTGGAGGCAAAGCAGAACCAGAATTCAGTTTTCACAAATTTGTAGACAAGTGACCGAGTCGTAGCAATTACCAATATAAATATAAATTACCTCTCATTATGATCTGACCGGGACTTAGCAGTGAATAGATATATTATAAATATCAATATTGGTTCCACTCAGAGCTGTTCCTGATTCTGGACGCTCAGCAAAGGGCTCTCCCTCGGGAACGGACCCAGTGCAGGCAGGGAGGGTCACAAAGCAGAGTGAAACTCTGCCTGTGGAACCTGGAGTGCCATGGGGAGCCTGGCCTTGGGCTCTGCTGTAGGAAACACTGCCTTTATTTCCCGAAGAAAACCGGGAAGAAATTGCACAGTTGACATCCCCTGGCCTTGCAGACAGTGAATATCCTTAGTTCTACTGCTGTTGTGTTTGTGTGTGTGCACAGGGATGAGGACAGAAGGCTCTGGGGAGTCTTTTCTGGGGGCTTCCAGTGCCCAGAAGGGCTCCAGGAGAGCTGGAGAGGGATTAGGGACAAGGGATGGAGGGACAGCACACAGGGAATGGCTTCCCACTGCCAGAGGGCAGGGAGAGATGGGATATTGGGAAGGAATTGCTGGCTGGGAGGGTGGGCAGGCCCTGGCACAGGTTGGGCAGAGAAGCTGTGGCTGCCCCTGGATCCCTGGGAGTGTCCCAGGCCAGGTTGGACGGGGCTTGGAGCAGCCTGTGCTGGTGGAAGGTGTCCCTGCCCGTGACAGAGGAGTAGAAAGGGAGGGTCTTTAAGGTTCCTTGTACCCAAAGCAGTCTTTGTTTCTACATAAATCCCTGTTTCTGTGCCTGTCCCTGGATGAGCTCCCTGAGGAACACCCCCTGTGGTGCTTGCAGGAGGTCAGTGCTGGATGGAGAGCATCTCGTGACATGTGAAAGGCTGACCCTGGGGGCAGGGAGATGTTTTGAGGAAGCAGCTGAGACGCTGAATTTCCTGTTCAGTGAAGGCATCTGCCCTCTGCTTCCCAGCTGCTCTTGTTGCAAAACAGGTGACATGAAAACAGCGCTGAGAGCTCAGTGCGATTCATCTGCTGCAGGGAATCCAATGTCATTTAGAATCATGGAACGGTTTGGGTTGGGAAGGACCTCAAAGCCCACCCAGTGCCACCCCCTGCCATGAGCAGGGACACCTCCCACCAGCCCAGGGTGCTCATGATGTACTGTCCTGGGAAGAGAGGGGGGTTGCTCTTTAGGGGAAGCGGCAGAAACATTTCCCTCTGTGGTTTTTGTACTTCATGTGTGAATTTGTGGTTTGTGAGGGACTGAATTTGAGCTCCTTGTGCTTTCACCCCCAGACATGTCCTGTTTCCTGCTGCCCTCTCTGCCTGCTCCTGTTGCTGGGAGGTTCAGGGGGCAGGAGAATTGCCTCAGTGCTTGGCTCCTGGCAGGTTTGCTGGGAAAACTGTTCAGAGCTCAGCTGTGTGGACTCTTACGCAACTGGAGTGGATCCAAAACTAGGACACACGGACCCTTCCCTCTGTTTTATTTTAGATTTGTGTACAACCCTAGAATTTTCCTTTTTTGAATGCTCGTGTTTTGCCAGCTCGGATCAGAAGGGAATTAAAAACGAGCAAGGTTTGCACAGGCGTTTTTTTAAGGCTTTCCCATTCAAGCAATTGGAATGTGTCTTTTTTTGGCCTGAAGGTGATGCTGTTTCTCTAGGAAAAAAGTACTGGAAAAGCCACAGAAGAGGAGTAATTTGGGAGTCTGGTAGAAAGCGCTTGTGATAAAATTCAATGT